GTTTTTCGCCCCCCGTCTTGCTGCACCCCCTGGGGTGTGGTGCAGGGCGGGGGATGCCTGGTCGGCGGGAACCCGGCACGGAACCCTCCGGCGTTGTAGGCGGGTGTGGGAAGCGTTCCCCGTTCTCCTTTTATTTTATTTTGATCGGTCTCCTCGACGCTCTTTCTCGTTTGGTGCGGTAGCTGGTCTTTCTTTCTATCATTTTGTTTCTCTTCCGAGTGGTTTTTGTACCCTATTTTTTTCTGTTTCTTCGTGGGGTCGTGTATGCCGGGTTTTGAGACCACGGGCTCCCAAATTTTTTTTTTTTTTAGAGCTAATGTGAGAAACAACAACAAACAACAACTCTTTTTCGGAGTGGTTTGTACCCTATTTTTGTTTTGTTTCCCCGCAGCGTCGTTTGTGCCGGGTTTTGAGACCACGGGCTCCCCATTTTTTGTAGACAACAGAGCTAATTTGAGAAACAACAACAACAACAACAACAACTCGTATGTGACCCCGGTTGGGTTGTCCTAGCTGGTTGTTGTTGTTGTTGTTGTTGTTGTTGTTAATGTTGTCTTCACATTAAAAATCGTTCCGATCTCTCTCTACCCAGTACCTTCGTATGTCCGTACTGATCCACCACTCGACGCGGTCGATTCCTGTGGTCGCAGGCTAACTTACCCTACGAGATCGGGAGGTGGAATAGTTTTTTGTTGAAAAACGTATCTGCAGTTGGCTCGTGCGTTGCTACCATTGGCCCGTTTACTACACAGCAGTACTACAATGTATTGATTGAGGTGTGTGGGACACTATTTCATGGAAACGGCTCAAAAAAGTGCGTGGTTTGGAGCTTCCGAATGAGGTCGACGTATGTACGCACCAATTTTTTATTTTCCGCTGTTAAAGATTCTCAGGTACATATGTACCTGAGAGAGTTGATTGAGGTGTGGGGGGCGCCAATCAATGTGATGGACTCCGAAAAAAAAAATGTCTTGGAAAGAAAAGACACCTCCACACGGACTCGAACCAATGATTTCGAGAGTCAGGGTGGCCTTCACCGAGTCCACGAAGTGAATTGGCTTGTTTTACAACGTCGTTGCCAAGCGACGAAAACCCAATCCCGATGGCAAACCCCGAGGGGGAGGGAGGTGTACTCCGGGGGGGAGGGAGGGGTGTGGTATATTAAAGAATAGGGCTAGCAGCTAAAAAATAAAATGTATCTGCCGTCGTGCTTCGCTTGTTGGTTCGTGCTTTGATCGAGAAATCTCAAAAGCGTTCAAGCGTGTGATGGGTAACCAGGCTAGCACGGGAGGTACTGGTCGCACACTAGGCCTTCGCGCACAAAAGTGTGGAGAGGCGTACAGCAGTACATGTCGCACCAATGGTGGTGCGTAGCAGCGTCTGTTTGTTGTTGGTGTCATATGCCCCTCTCCCCGTAAAGAGAGAGGGAGAGAGGCCGCCGCTGCTGCTGCTGCTGCTGCTGCAACCAAATGTTGGTCTCTCCTCTCGCTTCCTCCGCCGATTGCTAACAGCAGCAGTGTATGGCACACCCTTCTCCCGCCGTCTCGCCCTCGCTGTGGTCTGTATCTCCCTCTCCCTGTTTGTCCATGTCTGGCTCTGTGTG